TAGATGGCAGGGGAATGGCTGCTGCTTTGAATTATGCACAGTTTGGGATAAACTGGAGTTTACTGTGTGTCCCACCAGCACTTTGTTACTGTAAGGACTCTTCCTGCTTTCCTCTTCCCTGACCCCCGCCTCAGTCCCACTCGGAGGCCTGTGGAGTGCTTCAGCTCTGTGCTTTAGATCACTTGACTGTGGTTCTAAGTAGCCTGCTTCTCACTGTTCCTCTCATGCCAGGAGCAGTCTGTACGTGATTTTTCTACCTCTTGTGAAGGATCTTCTGTGGCATATATATTAGATTAAACAGGACAATGCAAAAAAAAAAAAGGCATTCCCACACACAGAGTATAGAATACATGTGCTGAAGTGTGGCATTGACCTGGAGTCTTCAGTGCCTGTGTGGAGGTCTTAGGCCATATGATTGTTCATGTGGCTTTCTCTGTGGTGGGATTCTAGAATCCCTGCCATGGCCGTTTGGACCAAGGCTTGGATTAATGGTTCCAAAAATCCCTACGAGCCTTGAGACCACAGGTTGCTTGTGAGGAGAGCTGGGGACAAGTGATGTTGACGTTACTGTTGATGTCCAGTTACCAGAAGGAATTTTTTGGCTTTTAAAGGTAAGATTTGTCTTGAAGGTTTTTTTGGAAGGGGCTTAGCTTTGTCGTTTTGTTCAGTTTTCTTTTAATCACGTTGGGCTTCTATGTACTTGGAATTTAAATGTAGAGCTTTATAAGTTTTTTTTAAAGAAAGGATTCTTGGTTTTGGGATTATCAATATGCACGTTCTAAATTCAGAATGATTTGAAAACTAGATTTGAATGGTATGGATAGATGATGCCTGGTTTCCAAGCCTTCCCTGGTGGTTTATGACTGTTACTAGCTGATGAATACAAGGGTGGAAAACAGCGGATCCTGGCTAAATAATCTTTCTTGATTTTGACTTGATACTGCTTTTATTTTTTAAAAATCTGTACTCACCTAGGATAACCTGAAGTGAAGTGGTCACTATATAAGATACAATCTACTTTGTCATAGGAATGAATAATAACACTGAAATTCATATATACTGAAACTGATATTTGCACATGAATTACAGGAATTTGAGACAGTGGACAACTGTCTCAAAACAGTTTGTGGTAGAACCCTCTTCGAAAATGCCTGGTTACATTATACTTCAAGCATATTGAAGATGGTCTGGGTTCATATATTAACTAGCTGTGAATTGAGTGCAGAAGAGCTTAGCATTTGAGAGTCCTGGATTCAAATCTTGTCTCTACTTCCTACCTGCTTTTTTGATTTGAGGATGCTAATTGACCTTGCACAGCTTCAAAAATCGTATCTCCCTTTCAGGAGAAGAAAATGAGTAGTATCTCACATGATACCTGTGAGGCTAAAATTAAACAGTGAAACACCACACAGCTGGAAGGTGAGAATGGGGGGGGGAGCCTTGCCTATCTTGGTATCATCTGTGAAACCTTTATATATTGTTAAGTATTCAATAATAACTTAAAGTGAAAATCGCTCAAGTTCCAAACTCCCTTGTGCTTCCGGTGCCAACATGCTAATTCATCTATAGTGGATTTAGAAATGTAACCCTTTTGCAGCAAATATCTCCTTTTGTATTATCTTCCTTAGATTAATAGTAAAATTTTGCTTACCTCAAACACATTCTAATTGGTGGGTGGTGATTTTCCTAATAATGCCACTAAACAAATTAGAAACTTTGTGGAGAAGTCATTTAAGGATAAAATGTCTGAGTGTAGTCAATTTACAGGTAGTAGAAACATGGCTGACTCATCAGCTAGCCATGATTGCTATGGGGGAGGGTCAAGTCAAAGACCCATTTAGTGGATGGACCATCTGATATTGATGATAATGCCTTTGGTTAAATACATAACACCACTGTGTTTCTCATTCATTCATTTAGCAAGCTTTTGAGTGCCTATTGTGTGCTTAGCAGTAAGCCCTCAGAGGCCAGCCTGGCAGACAGCTAAGCAGGGACTGACAGGGCAGGCTTTCTCCTTTACCTGGTGACCCAACTCCAGCAGCCACTGCTGTGCCTGAGAGTGACCTCCTCAGGCCAGTAAACAGTTTCTCTGAAGTGCTGGGTAACTTGAAGGTTTTGACGGGAAGACATCACTTGTATCTGAATATGCATCTGTAAAAAAGACAGTCTTCCTGCAGGGTGTCTTCACATGCCCAGACCCTTAGCATATGGCCCCTCTCAAGGGTCCCAGATGCTAGATTTGCAGCCCCAGATTATCTCTCACCATTGAAACTGTGATTTTCAACCTTGGCTGCATGTTAGAATCAGCATAATTTGAAAAACCTGGTACCAGTGCTTCATGATAGACCAATAAAATAAAAGTCTTTGGGACTAGGACTCAGGCAATAGATTTTTTGTTTTATGTTTTTTTTTTAAGTTTTGTAGATGATTCCAGTGTGTGACCAAGGTTGAAAAAGCAACTCGATTAATTAGAAGCTGCTAAAATGCAGGTGTGACAGTGCCATATAGGAGAAATAGAGTCTTAATGTGGTTTTAATTGATGATTTGATATATTTTATTATAGAATAGCAGTGTGACAAAACTACACAATATTCAGCTTGCCTTTCCTTTACCCATTATATTTGTAGCATCTTCCTGATTTTATTTATTTATTAAAAGATTTTATTGAGAGAGCGAGCGAGCATTGCGGGGGTGTGTTGGAAGGGCTGAGGGAGAGAGAATTTGGAGCCGAGCCCAATGAGGGGCTTGATCCCACAACCCTGAGATCACTACCGAAGCTGAAATCAAGAGTCAGATGCTTAACCGATTAATGGATTGAGCCACCCAGGGGCCTCCTGATTTAATTTTAAATGAATACATGGAACCTCATTAACATATAGTGGATATGTTATTTTTTTTATTTTATCTTTTGACTAAAATGGTTTACTTTCATCAGTAGTGAATATTCTCATCACTGCCTCAGCAACCTTGTTGGGTAGAAATTAATTTTAGAAATAAGGAAGATAGGGCTCAGAGAAGTTGAGCAGCTTCTTCAAAGTCAGCTGGTAAACAGCAGAGGCAGGATTAGAATTCCTGTGTGTCCATCATAAACTGCTTCCTTGAGCAGCTTTTATGTTTAGCCCATTTGAATCCTGCTCAAAGACAATAGAACTGCAGCACATTTTGTAAGAGGGCACTATGCATGCGTTAGACCCTTGGTAAATGTCGCATTAGTAAAAAGCTGAATGCTTAAAATACAGTGGCTTCCCATGGAACTTTTTAAAAATAGAACCATAAGTAAAACAAAATTTCTGATTAGTGTGAGAAAAAATAATGAACCGAATGAGTTTTAGCTCTTCTGTCACCCTCTTTTTTAAAAACAGGAAAAAAAATACAATTTGATAAGAGGGCATAAGTTAGCAATGATTACCCAATTTTTTTTTTTTAAATTGAGGTAAATTGACATATTAGTTTTGGGTGTTGTACAACACCCAAATTCTGATAATGGTCCCAAAATACAACCACAAGTTTTCATGGTTATTTGGTACTGTATTTAGTGTTCTGTCTGTCTCTCTTTTTTTGTGTAGTTAATAGGGAACCACATTAGGGTAACCAGTGTGGCTATCCTAAATACCTGTATTCATAACCACATGCACCTTCTCTCATCAAGGAAAAAAAAATCCCTCAGTTTGCTATGAAATTGATGAAAAAAATATATTTAATAAAAAGTATTTGGACCTTTACTGAGCATCTCCTGGGAAACCCTTAATTAGTTTGGTTTGACTTTTAGTAGACTAAACCTGTCTTATGTCCATTTTTGTTACTTATTCTCCTTTAGTGTTTCTTACCTTCTGAAACTGAGAAACTTCCTCTTAGTTGAAAAATTGACCTTTCGAATTGGCTTTACTTATGTGTGCATTCCATTGATTACAATCCCTTGAATACCTTCCATTTTGTTTGAGAGCTGGGATATCATTGAGCTGGGGTTAGAGCGCTCAGATGATAGGGAAAAACCACACAGTACTCCTTGTTAAGCAACTCTTCAGAAATTGTGTTTTATTATTTTTCTTTTACTCTTTCTTCCTTTCCTGCATGTTCTCATTGGCTTGGATGTTCTCGGTGTAAATCTTTGTGTTCAGATTTCCCTGTATCCTTATGTAGGTCATCAGACCTTTTTTATTTTATTTTATTTTTTTTTAAAAGATTTTATTTATTTATTTGAGAGAGAGAATGAGAGAGAGAGAGCACGAGAGGGAAGAGGGTCAGAGGGAGAAGCAGACTCCCTGCCAAGCAGGGAGCCCGATGTGGGACTTGATCCCGGGACTCCAGGATCATGACCTGAGCTGAAGGCAGTCGCTTAAACCGACTGAGCCACCTAGGCGCCCGAGACCTTTTTTAGAAAATTGGATTGAGTTTATTTGAAGAGGCTCTCCTATAAAATAAATGTACATGTGTACATATACGTGCACATGTGAACACACAGTTCTTCACCTTTTAAGTGGAAATAATTGTACTTGGTAAAGGCAGTAAATTTGTCAGGGTACAATGTACAGAATGCTGACAGATTCTTGGTTGATGCTTGACGCCTTCCCCTTTTATGGGTAAAGAAAATGAAACTGAAAAAGTCGTGCCCGTGAAGCCCACTCAGCAGCTTGGCGGAGACTTGCACCCACAGTTTCTGAAGCTGAACCTTGCATTTGCTGCTGGGTGCTCTGGCTCAGGCAGGACATATTTGATGGAATGCTTTGGAGATGTGGGGGTGAGGGTGGGGTTGTTGTTGTTTTGTTTTTAAATGCACAGCTTGCTGAGTTCTAACATGTTTAAACTTGCAAATGTAGTAGACAGGAGCTGAAAAAAGAAGACCACATGTATATTTCTAGGAGAATTAATGTAGACTTCTTTTTACTATTGAGAAAACGTGCTGGTGTTAATGACCTGACCATATGCCAAAATGAGAGTGGATCTCTGTCATCAGTGGTGTAGAATTAATATATGCCTTTTTTCTCCTTCCCTTTCATTAGGGCAGAGCTTGGGATATGGCTTTGTGAACTACATTGACCCTAAGGATGCAGAGAAGGCTATCAATACCCTGAATGGATTGAGACTTCAAACCAAAACAATCAAAGTATGTTTAAAAATTTTTTTTATATCTACTTGCAGAACAGAGATTAAAAACGATTCAGGTCTTCTTGTAGTTCTCTTCCTTTGTTTCATGCCCGCATAGACACTTCTCTGGGAGGCATAGCAGAATTTTTTGTTTGTTGCATGATGGGGGAAAACTGTTCACGAGTATTTTATGTAATCACTCCTATATTAAGGGGAGGGGCAGACAGCAGCAACTTTCTGTGCTAAGTACTCTGTGAAGCCTGCTGAATTACATCTCCTTCCTTTGGAGAAGTATAGCTTGAGGAAACCTTTGACCAGTTCTTTGAGCCTAGGGCTTGGCAGACTTGTTCTGTAAAGGGCCGAGTAGTAAATATGTTAGGCTTTGTGGGCCGTGCAGTCTCTGTCATGACTTCTCAGCTCTGCCCTTGTAGCTTGAAGCAGCCATAGCCAGTAACTACGGGAATGAATGGATGCGACTGTGATCTTAGAAGACTTTATTTATGGAAGCTGAAACTTGAATTTCATGTCCTATTCATGTGTCACAAAACAGTCTTTTTCTTTTGTCCCAGTCATTTAAAAATGTAAAAATCATTCTTAGCTCCTGGATCATAAAAAACAGCTGGGGAGCTGGATGTGGTCCTTCGGCTCTGTTCTGACTCTGCTCTAACTTTGAGGAGACTGACTGGACCTGCTTACATGCCACACAGGTTATTTTTCCTGTTATGTTTTTCAAGACAATTGGTCGGTAATTTGTGGGTATTTTCCAGCTTTTTTGAATTTTTGGAATGCCGACATAGATTGTGTCTGGATAAGAGGTAAATACAATTTGCAGTATAGATTTCTTTTTAGAAAATAAAAGGGATGTTGCTTCTGGCAAATGCTTAGTGCACGTGCCATCAATTTTGCCTCTCCTGCCCAGTGCAGATATTGCCGATCAATCATGGCAGTCTTTCTCACTGAGTCTAGATGTGGCTCCCAAATATTTTTCAAAATAGTGTTCCAGACAACCTCTATCAATTGACTCAAGTTGGAACCTATTTTCCACCCTTGATTTAAGAAGTTAGCTCAGACTATAGCCTGAAGTGGTGAGGGGAAGTTAGTCAAGGCTGACTGTGGCATCCATCTTGCTTAGAGACTTGTCTAGAAGATTTCTGCTCATTTTTTCAGAAATCTGGAAATGCAGTGTCATCTTTGTGCTTAAAAGTTGCTTCTCTCAGAATTGTCAGCTAAGGTAATTCATTAGCTCTGGATAGTTCTGACATCTCATTCTTTATATTTATTGGCCCATAGGCAATGCCTCCCAGGTCTGTCTCATCTAAAGGGAACTGTATGGGGGGCTCCCAAATATATTTGGATGTAAGATGTCCAAGAATTCTACATATTTGTTGATTAAGAAGATGTCCTTTGAAAAAATTCACTCTTTAGCCAGAAAATGAGCTGGTTATTGTGCTACCAAAATTTGAGGGGGAAAGGGGTGCCTGGGTGGCTCAGTCATTAAGCGTCTGCCTTCGGCTCAGGTCATGGTCCCAGGTCCTGGGATCGAGCCCCGCATGGGGCTCCCTGCTCAGCGGGAAGCCTGCTTCTCCTGCTCCCACTCCCCCTGCTTGTGTTCCTGCTCTCACTATCTCCTCTCTGTCAAATAAATAAATAAAATCTTAAAAAAAAAAAAA